AACATTCTTATACACCAATATTATATTCAATTTATTAATGGAAATATAACATTGCTTTAAAGCATTAGAATTCTCCTCACCCACAAAATTAAAAGGATTCCTATCTAATTATACGAGTGATTAATATTATAATTCTCACGCATAACTTTACACTTATCATAATAAAATGCCATCTGTTGTATGTTTGTTCAACTAACCAATACAAGCCTATAAAATCATAGCATTCTCACTGCAGCCAGCCAGACCTAGGATTTTTATATTATCAGCAAATTTAACCAATTTCACATGATTCCTTTATCAATGTCATTAATATAAATGAAGAATAACAGAGAGTGCAAGCACTAATCATTAAAGTATGCGTCTCAGTCAAATTCTAGAACTCCTTTACTAGGATTTTTTACTTCATCCCATCAGGCTAACCTTCAATCCATTAGACTAACTTATTTTATACTCTATCTGAGGTCATTTTCTTAAACAATCTTTTATGTTGAGCCTTACTAAAGGCCTTCTTAAAACTCAAGTAAAAACATACATTTCTTTATCCTCATCCAGATAAGAAGTAATATCCTCAGAAAAAATGTTAATAGGTGGTAAAGTAGGATCTTCTCTTTGTAAAGCCTGTTGTTTATCTGAGAAAATTTTGGATTTTATCAAATTATCCCACGATGCAAGTAAAGTTTAACTGACCTAAACAAAGCTTATCTCGACCTCCCTTTGAAAATTTCCTAAATAATGCTTATCTCCCCACTTTAAAACTTAGACTGATGTCATCTACTCTTCGATCTCCTGGAACCTGCTTCCTGTCCAACAACCTACCAAAAATGAAAGAATGTGCTCAGAAATCTGTTCCTTAACCTCTATTAAAACTCTACGCTAAATATTACCAGGTCAAGGACCTTCATTTTTTCAATAATCAATTTATAGCTTTGTTTTTAACAAGCTCTGGATTAACACTACAATGCACATTCCTCCAAATACATTATCAGTCTGTAATCCAGCCAACATTTTCCTTTGTGAAAATTGATAAGAAACATCATTTAAAAACTAGGCAATCTCATAAATGTAGTTATGAATGAAAACTCTACCCTCATCCTTCACAAGTCCAAGACTTGTTCTCACATTCTCAATATGTCTTTAATATGTCTAAAAAATTGTTATTTTTTAATGTAACATTTTATATCCACTGTTCTTCATAAACAGTTCTTCAATATTTATAGAAAAACAATAAACAACCAAGACACATTTCACTGCACAATACCAGGAATATTTATAGAAACACAATAAACAACGAAGAACACATTTCACTGCACAATGCCAGGAATATTTATAGAAACACAATAAACAACAAAGACACATTTCATTGCACAATGCCAGGATTATTTATAGAAACACAATAAACAACAAAGACACATTTCATTGCACAATGCCAGGATTATTTATAGAAACACAATAAACAACAAAGACACATTTCACTGTTTCATTAATTATCCAAAACTTGAAATTGGTAATGGTAACTATGGAAAGGAATATCCTTTCTTCATGGTGGTACAAGAATCCAAACTCACACAACAGCACTCTAGAAGTAGACGTATTTCTGCTACCACAGTAAACGAGATAAATACTGAAATAATAAGTATATCAGTTCTTACAAGAAATGTCACAGTTATTTTTCTAATGGCTAAAGCCTACTCGTTACTAAAGAACACAGCCATCCTAGTATCCCTAATCTGAACCCTTTCCGACAAGTCAATATCCTTTTTTCTAAAAAAGGATAAAGTTACTGGAAATGGTAAGAGAAGTAATACAAGGATGAATCTGGGATTACAAGGGTCACCATACACTGATTAGTCAAGTTGTTGGAAATGATCAGGGAAGGAATAAACAGATGATTCTGGGATTACAAGGGTTATCTCACAGTGATTAATTAAACTCTCTTAATGTACTTTCATTTGAGAAATAAATAATTGAAGTTTACATTATCTGGAAGGTTAATAGGAAAGGATAAAGGAACCAAGTTGTTTGTGCTGTATTCTGAAGATAATAGAACAACAACAAATCTGTAAAATTTTGAAAAACAGGCAAAGCATCAGTTATGACACTTGTTACTCTAACAGGGTGTTTGGCTTATGGAATGAATTGCCATTTGCAGTAGTGAAGGCTAGCAGTTTACAGGAGTTTAAGACAGAATTCAACGACTTCCTGAAAAATAAAGCGTAAGTTTAAATTTTTACTATTCTCAAGGGTGGATATGCAAGGATGTCCTTAAAAGACAAAATTGTACCACGTTGTCTTTATGTTAAACTATAATGTTAAAATACTCTTGATGAAGGTCTTTTTACAATATATTTTTCGTAGTGAAATTGCTTCACCTCATTTTTTGCTTTTTTTAGCTGTTACACAACAGCTCATAGAATGGCTCCAATAGCTAATAAAAAGAAAAAAAAAGGTACTCATAGATTAATTTAATCTAATCTTCGCTAAAAGAATTTCAAGTACTGCAGCTATTGAGAATTCCCTCTTGTTTTCACATATATATATATGTATATGTATTTTGTAGATTATTCTTTAATATTAGAAATCACCATTCATGTTATATAATCTTGTCAAGCTGAATCACCTCCACATCTTTTCATTTTCAAATTTCCCTGCATTCAATTAATACTTTTTGTTGAAACAATTGTAATAAAGAAAGGATGCAGAGATAAATTTTGAAATAAAAGATTTCAAAAGATATTTGCTCTTGAAATAAAAATAGCAAAACATTTAAATATAATTATTGATCCAATGTTGACATTTATGAAAGAGTATATTAACATTTGCCAAAATCTACACACATATTTTTCAAGATAAAATAGACTGGAGGTAGTAGTTAACTCCTTTTTCATATGGTAGAGACCTTATTATCCATGTTTTAATGTCTACCAGTATCATAGACATAATGCTAGGTAACATTACCACAATCCTGAGGCTTAGGTCTACATAATATTACTATTAGTAAAACAGTAGTACTACTAGTAGTCAACCTTTGGAATGAATACTTTAAAAATCAAGAATGAATTCAGGCAGATGTGTGTTTGATAAACTGAATGGAACAGCCACAATGGGCCAAGGGGGTCTTTGCTATCCCTTAAATGTTACTGTTAGGTCACCATAGAACTTCCATGTAAAATCTAACAAACAAATAAAATTACTGTAATTTTCTGTTATTTAAAGTCAGGTAAGTTATTTCATATTTCAAACCTTTTTCACAAGGAAATGTAAACAATAAGACATGTTAAAATGACTGTACATGAAATAATGATATTTAGTTTTAATTTGTGCTGCAACTAAAAATGATAATATATAACATTTTTGAACAGCTATTGGGGATAGATTGATTTGGGTAGAATGTTTCTCCTCTAATAGTGAGACATGGTCATGTACAACATTCAAAGTACAAATAATGAAATATGTGATCATGTCTTGCTGTTACTGTCAACTGTAAGTTGTAAGACATGAAACACTGTACGGTACCCAGGGCTGTTAAAACTTAAAGAATGAATACTAGTAGTACTAATACTAATAGTAACAATATATTTACAATCTAAGCTCCCAGAACAAATTATACTGTTAATGTTATTTTCGAAACGATGATACTGATAGTGTTACAATGACAGTAATTTATTGGTACTAGAATTTAATAATAATAATAATATTATCAACTGGCATCACATCCTACATGTTTAACTTTTAAAAGTTTTACTCACTTTTTAGTTATACTTACAACCTAAATCTTAATAATAATAATACAAGAAACTCTCGGAGATATTCATCAGTTATTATATGATTACGAGATCTTTATATTTACGTGAATCACTCCGACGTGTTTTACGTTATTATAAAGTATTAGATTAGCATTGTTCTTATAAACTTGTTTATTTTGAAATGAAATGACCCACTTACCAACCATTGCAGACTCACTTACCTTATTCCAACCGATCCCTCTAGTGGCTCAGCGGCAACTTTACAGTCTTACGACGCTAAAATTGTCTTTCGATATTCTTAAAAAGGTAAAGCGTAAGTGGACCGTTGTGTAGCTTTACGCTTAACAACAACCAAGCCAAAATATTCTAAGCTTAAATCTGTATAAGCTAAAAATATAAAATTCTAATTCGCGATCCGTAATTTTTAGAAAATGATACTCCATCAATGTGTTAATAGATTGAAATTCTATGCATACTTGAACTGGTTTTACCTAACAAAGTTTTCATTAATAATAACACAAGTTGTATTTAAATCGATCGGATGTCAGTGATACTGTTACGTATCTGCTTGTTTGTTTGTTTCCGGTAGAAATGCTCTACGAGGATCTTCAACGACGCAAGTCCTTTCTTGATTAAACCAGTTTATTCTTCCTCGATACAACTTTTAGTACACAGAAGTTCCACAATCAATACGTTTCTTCTCGTCACTTTAAACATAACAACTTTTATAATACACGCTATAAATCACAGCGATTCACAATCTCGATAATTTCGCTCTCGACGAGTGCAAAACACACACACTATACGGCTAACTAGCCCGAAAC